TGGCGTTGGCGTTTCTTGGAATTGCATGGAGTCCACGGACGGGACTCTTCTACGAATGAGATGACGATGTTTATCGGAAGGTCGAACCTATTCAATTTTTTTGCATCATAGACTTCTTTCCCAAGTCGAGATCGCACAACACAACACACAAGTCGTCGCCAGTCACCCTCAGGGGCCAACTCATCTCCACCTCCCTTCCCTCGGATGTCAGCATTGCTACAACGAGGGAAGGCTGGTGAGGCCTCATCAACACTATTCACCTTCCCCTTTTCCTTTCGTCATTCCATCGTTTTTATGTTTCTCGTCTAATTGGACTGTTTTTGTTTTTTCCCACCGGCGGCAACGGGGTTTGGGGGTGATCAAAGGCGTTCTACAAAAGACTTAGGGCAGGATTTTGAGACAAACATGGACGTGTGATAGCATACCGTTGCGCGAGCGCTCCTGTGGAAAGCGATGGCATGGACAGATGTGGGGAAAGAAACAAACCTTGTGTGTTGTGTCGTGTGTGTGGAGAGGGGAGAGAGGGGATTCTTTTTGAAGGCATGACGGTAAACTACTATACTGGAGGTCAACCTTCTCGTCGCCTGTGTATATAAGAGATCGGAGACGGAAGTGCGACGGGTAGTCGAAAGTGGAGGAGAGCATTCAGCGGTGGTGGTAGTGGTGGGCTTCTGTGGATGAGTAGATACATATAATCGGCCAGAATTGGTACTTTTTCAACAGACAAATGTCCTTTCAACCTTGTTGCGTTCCTGGTGTGATATCGGTGGGCGAGCATAGTCAAACTCTTCGTAAGGGTTTGCCGGCATGGATTGCCCATTTGTTAGGACAAGTTTCCTAACACCCCAGGTGTGCCCCTTTATTCAAGCCAATTCATATAAATCACAAATACACCCGGCTGAGTTGGTATCAAGTTAAGCTCACACTATCAGCTATCCCATGGACCCCCTAGGTTAGGTAGCTTTACATCGAAGAGAACCGAAAGGCATCCAATAGGAAGTTATGTTGATATGTAAGTAGGTATTCGCTAAGTAACATGAATCAACGCTGCTTTCGAACGCTCCCCTAAGCCAACCTCTCGAAGCAAATATCCCAAACGCCAAAACTAGGTCTATGGTGGTAATCTCTAAACGTTACCCAATCCTCCAAGAGATAGTGGTAACTCCTACCGGCTGGAACACCTGCACCCGATAGTGAAGAAATCTTTCCAGCGCCCACATTTGCAACGCTACGCACATGCTGGGGCCAGCCCTTCCGACTCCTCATGTTCCCCTTGTTGCGAGCGCTGCTCTGTCAGCCATTGCGCCCAATACCGCTCTTCCAGAAATAGCGGAAACCGTCGTTCCCCCTCCTCTTCTCTGAACTTGAAGCGCGGGCTTAAGTCGAATGCATTTTGTGCCTCCTGCTGCTGCTGCTCCTCCTCCGGAGGGGTCGGGAGTTGAGTAGGAAGACCGACTAGCTCAGCAACAGATGAAAAGATACCGGGCGAAGCACCGTCGCCAAGTGCAGCTTTGGAGGCAGAATACGTCGACCCTCGAAGTTCTGGCTTCTGCTGTAACTCTTCCTGCTGATTTATACTCCATGTCGATGACATTGTGGTTGAGATCGCGTCCGTAGTAGGTATGTTGAATTGCGGAATGGAAATTGAGTCGGCTTGGTTTAGGTTCTCCCGAAGAGTGGAAGGGCTCACTACTCATTCGTGGGTCTCTCGTGTTAGATGTCGTCTCTTGTGGGTGTCGATTTAATATGACAGATAGGGGTGGCCTATAAAGGAAATCAGGGGTATCCTATTGTAAAAAGTTGAATAATATTATTGAACAACCTCTGAGGATAGGTCGGTTATAAGTTAACTATGGTGACTACAGCCTGGAAGATACCGATAATATTCTCTTAGGGGATGCCATACATAGGAGTGTGGATGAGTACATGTAAATTGACAATTTTCATCGGAGTGTGGGACCTTTCTGTCTGCTCCTATTCCAAGAGATGCCTCCTTCCACAAAAACCAGCTATCTATAATGCCACAGATGGAGAGAGCTATGCGACTTGAGACACACTTACCCTCTTGTAAATAGTAGTCATGCTACGGAACCTTATATTTGTGCCGAGGTATCAAACACAGATGGCAATAACAGGCTGGGTAACCCTACTTGTAACTTCTGAGGAACTTGGAAACTTCAGGTACTTCACACTGTCAAGAGGAAGCGCGATGAGCAGTATTAAGGGTCTCTTCACACCTAGTATCTACCTTTACATGCCCACCCCAGGTAGGTAGAAACCTAATCTCCCCTAATACTTTTACGATAAGTGAAGTACATGAAACCATATCATTTTACCTGTGACTTGGCAGTGTACCTAATAGTAGCACCGGTAGTATGAAGTATCAAAGATCATCTGAACTCATTTTGGTGGGATTCAGTACAGTGTCATAATTATACTCATGTCACATTAGAATAATATAGTATATCTGACTCATTTTAGACTTTCTGGGTTATACGAGTCGACAATCGTACTACCTCACTGCTCTCTCTCGCTACGAGAAATAGAACCGGAGAGAAACTATATAAGCCCGATCAATCCCCAACCTGATATGAAAGTCTACCCATTCTTTCATTTTGAATCACAGATCAAGAGCCTTTCCTTAAAGTCTCATTTGTTCAGGTGGTAAACACCCGCGACTTAGAAGTAACAGGATAGAATACTAAGCCTCTACCAAGAATTCATCTTCCCACATTCACAATCTTCGCCCGTCACTTCCATAATCTTCTTCTGCAATGGAGTCTATCTCTCGAAACGAGACCACAGTAGCCCAAGTCCAGCGCCTCGAAGACGCGACTAAGAACCCCTGACCGGAAGGGAATGGCCCCGCGGCCACGACAACATTCTCTAAGGTCGTCGCCGCTTGCCAGTCTACGGCAAATACCGCCAGGCTCAGGTGATGATTCTGTCGAACAAGACCAGCTCAGGCAAGTCGACCCAGGCTCCCCTAGCTACTTGTCGACGACGAATATGCAAATGGCCTCCATCATTTCACTTCTCTTCTCTTCTCTTGTCAAGATGGCTAACCGGAAAAAGAAACAAAAGCTGGATCCCACGCTTAACCTCGAAGACGCGAACAACAACCTATATATGCAACAAGCAAAGCTTCACCATCTTCAACAATAGCTAGCGAGAACAATAAAAGCGTTCAGAAAATTTACGAAGATGAATACGCAAGGACAAAAGTCAACATAGCGAGGATCGAACTTCAGCAGATATTCTATCTCAACGCTGTAAGCCTCTTTTCTTTATTTACCTCAGTTTCTCATTTCCCTTTCTCGTCTCCCTTGTCGCGTCCTCTCTCTCACCTCACCTTTTCATGTCCCCTTTCTTATTTCCCTTAATTATTAGCCTAACATATTTATTTACTTTTTAATAATAGTCAGCGTCGTTACCAAGTTGCTCAGATGCCGAATCGTTAGTTGGTCCGTCGCCAACCAACGTACCCTCAGAAAGCCACCGTCTTCCAAGCGGTAGCAACACAGGTACATTGATTGGTAACGGCCAACCAATCTCCCCTTTATTATTAATATAACATATTTACTTACTTTTCAGTAATAGTCTATTATGTCCACAGCCATATTGCCTACCACTAGCCACGCTTCTTGTCCTTCCAGAACACTCCGAAGATCATTGGCGTTGACTTTCATCTTTGAGGTCCCTTTCACTGGGTCGTCAAGATAATTAGGCCTGATCATTGCTCAAAAGGCTCTCCCTCAAGTAAGTCCCACCGCCCTGCATGTTGCAATGTCCATCTGCCTAGCCGAATTGCTAATTTTGATGGCTTTCAGTCTATTTGTCTGGGTATGGCCAATACGTTACATTTTACGCGTTATGTAGACGTGCTGGAATAGACTTCGTAAAGACACTAAGCCCTCACCTGCTCTGTCTAATTCCGCTCCGATGGACTGGGAACATCGTTATAAACTCGTCATACGTCACGTTGAAGAGGCACGCGACGCCCACAAAGTCCAATTTTCACCACCACCACATACCACCACCACCATTTAGCTTGGCGTACATCTGGCGCTGGTACGACTACACCCACGCGGACAAGTCTACCGGGAACGATCGGGCGAACATAGATTGCAGTGAGCTGACCAGGGAGGATCGAATATTATTGGCGCTGCATTTAGGGGACTCGCTAGCAAGTGCTGTGTGCTGCAAAAGCAGAGGCTCATAAGGAGTAGCTGGACTGCCCCGGTGCGCGCGAATAGAGCTGGAGGATGGGCTCAGGCAAGGCCTGCGACCGTGATGGCGCTACCATGCATGAGACGGTAAAGGCCCTAAGTGAATTCAAGGTAACGGCGGATGACTGATCTAAGGAGACGCTGGACGCCCTGAAAAGTGGCTTTAGTAAGCTCTCTGAGCGTCAGGCAGAGCTCGATGACAAAGGCGAAGCCTTACTGTTTACAGCAGACACTTAGAGATAAGACTGCCCAGGCTGATGACTTGGTAAAGGAACTGCAGCAGGTTAGAGCCGAGAGGGATCAGGCTAACCAATGAACGATGATTTGTCCCCTAACGAGATGGAGGCGGACGAGGTTGGGAACTTCGAGCTAAACGAACAAGGACTAGACCTGGGACCTGCTCGCGGCCGCTACCTAGTTTGTAGACAGGGCTCTTCATGCCACAACTCAGTTCCTTCTATTACTCACATGCTTGCATTGTGGCATCTAATATTTTTCATGACCCTCCTATTTGCTATATTGAGGACTGTAGAATCCGCAAGCCGGTGAGTATTTGTAGGGGGTTGAAGGCACAGATGTTTTCTTTAGACGGCGAGGTCGGCGTAGATTGATCGAGGTCCCCGCCAATGGAGTTCAAAAATACTATCCGACGTTTTGCCTGCGGCCCCACTCCGCGTTACCCACATTAGAAATTCTCCCCACCTGTCCAGACACAGTCTGGGACGTTATAGTGCCTTCCACCACCTCCGTTCTTCAACAAACAAGCAACTAGGCCGCTTGGCCCAATGGTAAGGCGTCTGACTACGACGGAGCTTGACAACGAGCTTTCACCATCTAATCAGGAGATTCTGGGTTCGAGCCCCAGGGTGGTCATTACTTTTTCTTTTTTCTCAATTTTTACCTCTTATAAGTGTTCATTTTCATACATAGAGAGGACACTGTTCAGAATACATATGTCTCACCTTTAATAGCATTTTTTCGTGTTGTTTTTAGAACCATAGTGGCAGGTGTGAATACCTAATCTAAAAATTCACGATGTAGGGAGCGCTACTTAATTAACCCTCGGCTCCTACATCACTACGCTGTCTGCCCAATTTCAACATTGACCAGACATTCGGAATGACTGACTTAACAGGCCTGTTTCCTGGGTATATTATTTCATTTGCGCTGGGTTATCTAATTAGTATAGGCACGATTCCTGCAAGGTTCAAAAATGACATCCGCTACGTGCATACATCGGCAACGATGTATGCAGTTTGGACAAATTTGCACACTACCGCTAAACCGATAAAGTTTCTCCCCGGGAAAGACGGCGAAAAGGACGATGAGGGACGACAAGAACGGTGACGAAGAGGACGACAAAAAGGACGGCGAAAAGGACGAAAAAGACGGCGAATATAATAATAGAAAAACGATGCTGAAGATTTAGAAAACGACGGTGAGGATTTATAATAAGACGAAGAGGTACATGTCACATTGCAGTTTTACATAGGCATAATGTCATACTTACCTATGTCGGCCCCAGTGTCAGATGAGGGCATTTTGCAATTATTTGGTGACTCGAAGGGGCCATCTACTTAAGAATATGAACGGAACCGCATTAATCTACCTAATCTAATCCGCATTTTTATGAGCCTTGTCCTGCCTTATTCCATATGCGAAGCATGGGTATCAACCATCTCATAAAGTCGCCCCGAGGCTCATTGATAGAAATCCCCGGAGGAAAAATAAATCATCGCATGATTGATCGATGCTCAGGTAGTTAAATCTAGACGCCACATATGCATGTATATGCTATGATATCTCTGTTACGCCTCCTTGAAATCATGACTGTACCACGGCGTAGAGAAATCGTCCACTAGAGAGTCTTAACGAGGTTGATTGGGCTTACGTTTGATGAAAGGGTCTGGCTTCCTCTTGGGTGGCAGAGGCTTAGGTGGTCGAGGACCGGATGGTCCCTAGTCATCGTTAGCTCAAAAAACTGTTTATTATGACATGAGATGGTACAAACCTTAGGAGCACTAGAAGAACCCGGAGGAGGAGGGTTGTTGGTAGACGAGGAAGGCTGGGTTGGTAGATGTGGCTTGGTTTGGGGTACCTTCGGGGGTGGCGCTTTGACCATTGATGCTTTTGACATGATGCCACTCGCAATCTACATCACCATTGTTAGTTATTGTATTGATGTCGTGGTATTTGAAATACTTACCCTCTTCGGCGCTTTGCCATTATCGAGACTGTCCCTAGGACGTTTTTGTCCCAATTGTTGAGTCACAGCCGGGTTCGGTGGAGCATCTTCCATGATCACGTCCTCGCCATCATTGGCTTGCAACTTCGAAGTCGTATTAACGACGGGTTGCGAGATAGTAGCTTGTGGTGCCGGAGGTAACGGGGCATCGAAATTAGGAGGCGGTAACTGGGCTCCGGGCCTGCTGAGCAAAGAGAGAACATTTCCCGCGGAATAGCGGTTGCGGGCCTTCGCGTCTTCGATGAGTTTGTTCCAGAACTCACCCTGAACAAGAGCTCGCGAGTCCCCGAGGATGTAAAGCGAGGACTTCGCACGGGTCAAACCGACGTTCATACGTCGAATGTCCGTCATGAAACCAATACCACCTGTGGGGCTAGCTCGGACGCAAGAGAAGATGATGATCTCGCATTCACGTCCCTGAAAAGCGTCCGTGGTATTGAATTCGATCTGCTCCTTGACATTCTCCCCGTACCGGCGCGAGAATCGGTCGCGGAGCTCAAACAATTGAGCCTTGTAGGGAGTGATAATTCCTATCTTTCCCTTGAGATCGACGTTCGAATAGTCTGTCTTCAGCCTCTCATACAACTGCATGGCGACTTTGAGTTCCTCCAAGTTGACAAGTGATTGGCCCTTGCGACCTTTCTCCTGGATGCCCTTGACATCGAAGAAACGATACGGGCCTAACGACGAACTCTGGTGCCATGGCTGGTGACGTAACCTCCTCATATCATCGCCGTCTACAAGGCGTCGCTCGTAGAACTCCTGACTGGGGAACTGGCTGATCTCTGGGTGCATACGATATTGCGTATCGAGTAGATGAACGTCGCTAGGATGATTTCGTTGCATACGAACGAAAAGGCTCTGGTCGTACCCGTAACGTGCAGCGGACTGGGAGAGTACTGTTGGTGGAAGTTGCTTTGGGTCACCAACGAGGATGCATTTGGAGCAACCGTATTTCAATGGAATTAGCGCGCTGAGTTCGACGCACTGAGCTGCTTCATCAATAATCACTGTCTCGAACTCAACCTGAAGATTCTTGAACATCTCATGTCCACTACCGCTCAGTGTTGCGCATAGGACTTGAGCAGAGTCAAGAATCTCCTGTTGAATTTGACGTCGACGGATTTCACTTTCTCTGGCAGCTGTGTTTCCGCTGTCTTTGTCGGCGTCGATCTTGGCGCCGATTTGAGCCTGGCGACGCTTCAGTTCACCAATCTTTCGCTGGAATTGATTCATCTGATCGCGATCGCCTACGGTCCTCGCGGCCTCTAGTTGGGGTCGTAAGTCGCCCAATTCCCTTTTGATTTGACCAGCTTCTTGGTGCATCAAATCTCGTGAGCTAGGACCGTTGTTCTGGTTCGCAGCACCCTCTACGCGAGCCCTCACCATCTCGTCTAAAGTGACGTCCTTTACAGCAGCGTTTATAGCGTCAGTGCGACCGAGACGTAGCACATTGACCTTATGGAAAGATCCCGAGGTGGATTTGACTCCATCCTTCATTCGTAAAACTAATTCGTCGACAGCGGCATTACTTGGGGCGCAAACCAGCAGCTTTTTGGTTGGTGCTTTACTACTAGTTGAAGTTGCCGGCCCGTGTCGTCTAATAGCCGTTCCATTCATAGTGGAAAAATTACCAGTCAATAAGGCGCCTACCATTGCTACGATCGTTTTCGTTTTACCTGTTCCTGGAGGACTGCAACCAGTTAGCAAGTTTTATATTACCTCTTACCATCGCACCCCACTTACCCTTGGACTAGTGTAAATGCGTCGTTCTCCTTTGCGTTTAGAATCGCCTTCGCCTGGCCACGATTTAGGTTGTAGTTCTGCATGACCTGTTCAACGGCTTCTGGACTGAAGTTGAGCATAGGGGACGGTTTAGCTTCAAGAACCTCCGGCATCAAGTCGTAGTATTGGAGACTTTCTAAGGAAGCATATTCACGCTCAACGGTAGTCATGTTAGTAATTTTAACGGCATAGAGTTCGGCCTGTGGCACCATTGTAGACAAGATAGGACCAGCCCTGCCGCTCAAGCGGAATTGGACTTCTAAATTGCCGCCCTTAAATTGAACTCGGTGGATACGGGCTAGACAATGCAATGCATCTGTACCTTCTAGCGGGTTTGGAGCATGCGAGAATAGAATGATATCTCCTTCTGATAGGAATCTGTCCTTGTTCTCGCTTATAGGCATGGCGGAGCTAACCTCGATGAACTTGTCGACGTTCATTCGATTAACAATCTTGACCCCGAAAGGCTTTGACGTTGTTTCGTCCTTGGCTGTCACAAACGATCTCCAAGCTTCATTGACGAGAAGCGGCAAGAAGGTCTCCTTGTACTCTCGAGGATCTCCATAGGAATCAGATACCTGAGAGCACTTTATGCCATTCGGCGGATCGTTCCCTTTGTGAAAAATGTCCCATTCGAGAATAGCTTGGTGTAGCACATCCATCGGAGGAATAAGGCGTGCTCGCATATCTTTCGCGGATCGTTGGATCTTCATCTTCTTTACTGGTAGGCGCGGCTTGGGTTTCGCGACTTTCGATATGTAGTCCTGTCCTGCGCCAATTTTGGCTAGGAACTCAGCATCGTCTACTGAATCCTCTTCATCTTCTGACGAGGAATTGACCATGATTTCACTTTTCTGCGGGGCATGATCTTTGCCGTGAACACCCGAAAGCCCCTGAAGACCGGACCCTTCGCCAGTGACGAGTGATTTAGGGGCTCGCAGGGCTTTTGCCCTAGCAATAGCCTCCGCGTCTCTCTTCCGCTTCTCCTCGGCTTCTTTGAGACGCTTTTCACGGATACCTGCTACATTACTGATTGCGGGTTTCGCCTCTTGTTGACGAGCCTTCATCTTTTCCAATGTAGCCCGGTTCTTCTCCGAAGAAGAGGCCTTGAGTAGTTCGCGCAAGTCATCTTTGCTCGACCTAACCACTAACTTCTCCTTCTTAGATGCGCTTGGTACACTCGCCACCTCGTCAATCGACTTTGACCAAGCATCGAGCCTAGATTGCCGTTTAGGACCTTCAACCTTCTTGGCTGAAATGATCTGCATGTCATCATCTTGAGTGTCATCACCTAAAGCTCGTATCAACTCAGCACGTTGGCGCTCATTCATGTTCGTCTGTGTATTGTACCGTCCATTTTCGTTCTTTGTGCAAGTGTTCCGAACGAAAGCTAGAGCTGGGGGGGGAAGTTCCATGTCAAATTCCACCAGGCGTCTTAGAAGCTTGCCAAGAACACTGACGATCACCGTAACAAGATACAGATCCTTCAGACGGAGCATCTTGCAAAGACCTAAGCAATATTTTCGTGGTTGCTCGAGTATGTCCTTCATGGATTGCTTCTCGGGCTGCTCGCTATTGTCAATTGAAGTGGAATGGGCAGGCTGAGGGCTCAATGCAGAAGCCAGAAGACCATCCTGGGCTAATAGAGCCTCGGCAAGTTCCATAGCCTCTCGACAGAAGTTCTTCATAGTTTCCGTTTCAATCAGACGGCTCCAACCCTCTGTTTGGGTGAAGGCGTTGTCTAGAAAGATCCATTTCGAATTCCACCAAGCACCGAGTGCGTCTCGCTCTGCCTTGTTCAAATCCTTGGAACGCAGTATGCCGGACGTCGGGTCGCAGAGAC